TGGAGATGGTCAAGACAATTTAACATCTGTCAATCTCATGCTCCATCCGCCCCTCACTCGTGAACAAGACCCCGAGATACTTGAACTCCTCCACTTGAGGCAAGGACTCTCCACCGACTCGGAGAGGGCAAACCACCTTTTTCCGGTCAAGAACCATGGCCTCATATTTGAAGGTGCTGATCCTAATCCTGCTCGCCTCACACTCGGCTGCAAACCGCCCCAGTGCACGCTGAAGGTCCTGATTTGACGAAGCCAACAGAACAACATCATCTGCAAACAGCAGAGATGAAATTCTGTGGTTCCCAAACAAGCCTCTTCTGCCCCCTCGCTGCGCCAAGAAATTCTGTCCATAAAAATAATGAACAGAACTGCTGACAAAGGGCAGCCTTGGCGGAGGCCAGCGTGCACTGGGAACAGGTATGACTTAATACCGACAATGCGAACCATGCTCCTGCATCGTAAAGGGAACGGACAGCCCTTAACAGAGGGCCCCATAGCCCATACTCCTGAAACACCCCCCACAGGACGCCACAAGGAACATGGTCAAACGCCTTCTCCAGATCCACAAAACACATGTAGACTGGTTGGGTGAACTCCCATGAGCTTTCGAGCACCCAATGGAGGGTATAGAGCTGGTCCAGTGTGCTGCGACTGGTCCCCCTTCTTAAACAGAGGGACCACCACCCCGGTCTGCCAATCCAGAGGCACTGTCCCCAACCGCCACACGATGTTGCAGCGACGTGTCAACCAGGACAGTCCCACAACATCCAGAGACTTAAGGTACTCAGGACGGATCTCATCCACCCCCGGAGCCCTGCCACCGAGGAGCTTTCTAACCACCTCGGTGACTTCAGCCCGGGTGATGGACGAGTCCACCTCTTAGTCCACAGTCTCTGCTTCCTCTTCAGAAGACGTGACAGCGGGATTGAGGAGACCCTCAAAGTATTCCTTCCACCACCTGACGACCTCCCCAGCTGAGGTCAGTAGGTCCCCACCTGCACTGTATACAGTGTTGGTGGAGAGCTGCTTTCCCCTCCTGAGCTGCCGGACGGTTTGCCAAAAAAAAACTAAAGTAAAAACACGTCGGTCGCACAATTCCTCACCCTGGTCCGACCGATAGTCCTCCTCCATGGCCTCCCCGAACTCCTCCCAGACCCGAGTTTTTGCCTCTGTGACCGCACGAGCTGCTGCACGCTTGACCTGCCGGTACCTGTCCGCTGCCTCAGGAGTCCCACAAGCCAAAAATGACAGGTACGACTCCCTCTAGGATTGCCGCTGCGACAAGTACCAGAGACCTTATGACCACAGCTNCCAAACAAGCCTCTTCTGCCCCCTCGCTGCGCCAAGAAATTCTGTCCATAAAAATAATGAACAGAACTGCTGACAAAGGGCAGCCTTGGCGGAGGCCAGCGTGCACTGGGAACAGGTATGACTTAATACCGACAATGCGAACCATGCTCCTGCATCGTAAAGGGAACGGACAGCCCTTAACAGAGGGCCCCATAGCCCATACTCCTGAAACACCCCCCACAGGACGCCACAAGGAACATGGTCAAACGCCTTCTCCAGATCCACAAAACACATGTAGACTGGTTGGGTGAACTCCCATGAGCTTTCGAGCACCCAATGGAGGGTATAGAGCTGGTCCAGTGTGCTGCGACTGGTCCCCCTTCTTAAACAGAGGGACCACCACCCCGGTCTGCCAATCCAGAGGCACTGTCCCCAACCGCCACACGATGTTGCAGCGACGTGTCAACCAGGACAGTCCCACAACATCCAGAGACTTAAGGTACTCAGGACGGATCTCATCCACCCCCGGAGCCCTGCCACCGAGGAGCTTTCTAACCACCTCGGTGACTTCAGCCCGGGTGATGGACGAGTCCACCTCTTAGTCCACAGTCTCTGCTTCCTCTTCAGAAGACGTGACAGCGGGATTGAGGAGACCCTCAAAGTATTCCTTCCACCACCTGACGACCTCCCCAGCTGAGGTCAGTAGGTCCCCACCTGCACTGTATACAGTGTTGGTGGAGAGCTGCTTTCCCCTCCTGAGCTGCCGGACGGTTTGCCAAAAAAAAACTAAAGTAAAAACACGTCGGTCGCACAATTCCTCACCCTGGTCCGACCGATAGTCCTCCTCCATGGCCTCCCCGAACTCCTCCCAGACCCGAGTTTTTGCCTCTGTGACCGCACGAGCTGCTGCACGCTTGACCTGCCGGTACCTGTCCGCTGCCTCAGGAGTCCCACAAGCCAAAAATGACAGGTACGACTCCCTCTAGGATTGCCGCTGCGACAAGTACCAGAGACCTTATGACCACAGCTACAAGCGGCTGCAGCAACAATGGAGGAGGAGAACAAGGACCACTCGGCCTCCATGTCTCCAACTTCCCTCAGAATCTGGGTACCGCCAGACATTCCCAACAGACCCTCACGATACGCTTAGGTCTGCCAGGTCTGACCAGCTTCTTCCCCTGCCAGCAAATCCAACTCACCACCAGGTGGTGATCGGTGGACAGCTCTGCGCCTCTCTTTATCCAAGTGTCCGAGACACGTGGCCGGAGGTCTGATAATACAACTGCAAAGTCGATCATCAACCTCCGGCTTCAGGTGTCCTGGTGCCACATGCACATGTGGACACTCTTGTGCTCAAACATGGTGTTCGTGATGGACAAACTGTGACTGGCACAGAAGTCCAACAACAGAACACCACTCGGGTTCAGGTCAGGGAGGCCGTTCCTCCTGATCACCCCTCTCCAGGTCTCACTATCGTTGCCCACGTGGGCGCTGAAGTACCCCAGTAGAACAAAGGAGTCCCCAGTCGGGGCACTATCTCGTACCCCTCCCAGGGACTCCAAGAAGGCCGGGTACTCTGCACTGCTGATCCTAGGATCATTTGGGTGCACAAACTCCCCCACCACAATAAGGTGGCAGTTCGAAGGGGGAGGTGAATAAAGTCATTTTACAAATGTTTTATTTCGTGCTGCGACACTCCCTTATGTGGTTTTGAGAGTTTAAATCAATACTGACCTTCTGTTCAAACGTCTCTTGAAACACGTGGTTCTCTTATTTCATTGCTTTGGCTCGATTCCTGAGTCAAACATGTTCCATTGGAAGAATAATAATGAACAAAACACAAAGACGACAGCTTTATTTATTCATCATAAATTTTACTGGCCATTGACACGCTGCTGACGTTCAAACGACTTTCACTGAAGTTTACTTAAAGGGAAGAGTCAATAACAGAAGAATGGACAGATTGTGTGAGGTGAAAATGTCAAAATCGGATAACACACCTTCATATCCT